CCGTCCTATATTATTTAGCAATTAATTATATATAACCAAATGATATCTATTATGTCACAGAAATATACGTTAGATATCTCTGTTATAAGCACAGACAACAACACAATATGATGAAAACAACATAACCAAGTTTTAAATTACATTTTTTTAGGCACAAAGAGATGGCTCTAAATTTTAACAGTTCAAAAACTCAAAGGCCATATAAAGGGTCTGCTTTCTCTCTTTCCCCTGGGCCAGTGTACTGGCTTTACCCTCAAGCTAGCTGATATCATGGCTGTAAGATGCTACCGCTGTCCCAAGCTTCACCTTTAGACCTGGAAGTATGTTTCTTAACCAGTATCTCTCTTAAGAATGAAAAAGTCTTTCCCAAAAGTCTCCAAGCATACCTCCCTCCATATCCCAGTGCCATCACATGCCCATGTCTAAATCAGACACTGGAGAGAAGCATGGGACAACCAGGAATGGCCCAGTGCAAGCCCCTCGGGGCCCCCCACTCTCAGCTGCTCCGAGTAGGAGGCAGTCACCGTACTTCTGTCAGAAAGGAGGAGGGCAGGGGCCGAAATTGGTTAGGTACCTTCCAGGGGCTGAGACAATGTCCTTCCCTCATGTTTGGACTTGTTTCCAAATAGACTGTAAACTCTTTGGACCATGTTTCAAGTTCCCTATGGCTGAGCCTAGCACATTGCCTTCCATGAAACAGTTACTGCATAAGAATATGTTCAAATGCCAGTTTTATGGAATTCACTACAGTCAGATGAACAAGCCACCTATGGATCATCTGAAGGGGCATCATAGGAATCACTTTCACATACAGAATCTCTTGTTTCAGGATTTACGGCATTAAGATTCTTCTTTTTAGAGAGACATTCTTCTGTGTGTTCAGGTAAATCATTAGTCACCATAACAAATGAAAAAAAAAACACAAAAAACCCACAAAACCCCTCCTATCTTTGACTTGCCAATTAGAATGACAGCCTTCTGTGGTTCCTTCTCTTTTATGCTGCACTGAATCTTTCAGTAACATCCCAAGCTAAGCAAGGCTGATAGTCCAAACCAAAGCTTTTGACTTAAGTGGGAACATGCACATGACATCAGGATGATAATTTTGGTCCCTGATATTTTCCCCATTCTTCCTGAAATACTTTATTTTTGATATGCTGACTTGAATTTGTGCCTTTATTTGGCTAAATGTCTAAAATTCCATCATTGGAAGCTCGTCTCTTTACATTCACAGGCTTCTCCCTTTTAATAGGCCCATGGCCATTAGCACATTTAGACAGGAATAGTCATCACCCACTATAGAGGGAATTCATTTGAACTGACGCATTCACTGACTCTTGGTGTTGAAACCTACCTGTCTTGGAGGTCATCTCATAACAAGGTGGTACAGGCAATACTGGAATTTTAATTTGTTAGGAAAGACGAGATACAGCCCTAATATTTAAGCAATTAACTTTCAAATCTGGCTGTACGTCAGAAATGTTTGAATAATTGTTTTTAAATACCGATCCTGAGCCCCAGTGCCTGAATTTAAATCAAACAGAGGCTCAGGAACCAGGACTTAAAGAGAGCAAAGCGTAGTCGTGGTTGGGCAGGTGTAGCTGGAGAGCCATGGGGTGGGGAGTTACTTTATAAGACGGTGGTTTATGGCCGTGGAGGTGCTGAGGCTAAGAGGTGGAGGCAGTTTAGGGTCAGTCCCAGAAATGAGAGATGACCTCAAACTTCCCTTTTAGTCATAAAAGAAAAACTTCCCTACTTTATAATCTTGCTTGGAGTTGTCTTGGGACAATGGTGAGTTAGTTGCAAAGGGATAAGAGGAAAAGGGAAAAAGCATCAAGGCAGTGAAGGCAAAGGGAATAGTCTGGAAAATAACACTAAATATGGTCTGATCAAGTGCAGTCAGAACACAGAAGGGTGTGTATTGGTGTATCTCTACGGCTTTGGGGCATGTGTATCATTCCTGTGCCCATGTGCAGTATGTGTACTTGTGTTGATGTGTGTGCATGAGGACTGTAGCAGAGAAAAAGCCAGAATAGGCAGGACAGCCTGCAGCCAGATGGCGAAGGACTTTTTAGGCCAGGCCAAGAAATCTGGACTTCACTCCGACAAGAGATGGGGAGCCACCAAACTTTTGAAGCAAGGGGTTGATTGGATACAAATAAGTGTTTAGAAAGATAATGCTGGTGACCATGAGTAGAATGGGTCAGAGGGATAAGAGAGAAAACCAGGAAAACCAGTTTCCAGTTGTCCAGACACAAAGAAAGAAAGGGCCTGAACTGGGTGGTGGCAGAAGTTGCATAAAGTGGGGAAGATGGACAGAACTTGGAGATAGGCTGTAAAGTTGAAACAAGGGAGAAGATTTCTGGTTTTCATGTTTGCATGTGAATGCTGCTGCCCCATAACCAACAGTGGACAAGACAGGAGAGAATTCTGGAGGGCAGGTGTTTTGACTTCAGTTGAGGACGCACTGAGCCCATGCTTATTTGACATCTGGGTGGAGATGGTAGCGGATGGAAAAACTGATCTGGAACCAGAAGAGGAGTCTGGCTGGGGATTCTGACTTGAGTGGGGAACTGGCCCAGAGAGAACTGGGAGAATGAAGACAATGATCCCAGATGGAAGTCGAAACACCAAGGACTGGGCTAAACAGATGAGCTCGTGAAAGAGAGTGAGGGAGAGGATTTGAAAGTATTCGGTAAAGAGGGGGAACTCTGGGGCAGGGAGGGAAGATCAGGATTATCTGTGGTCTGGCAGCACACTGGAGAATATAAGTGTCACTGTGCACTCTGAAATTACATTTTCCTTTCCGCTATAGACCTATCATTTAGATTATGAATGATCTAGGCCCCCTATGGCCTTTCTCTTCCATCCTTCATCTGCCAGTTACCATTTCAATGACTGTAAGCACTTAAACCAAGGAGTGATCAATGCAAGGTGATAAATAGGAAACTGGACTTTGAGCACTGTTTTCTCTTAAACACCCATGAGAAGGTTTACAGAAAGTCAATTTGACTCTAAATGTTAAAATGAGATTTGAGGGTTTTAAGTTTCCACAGTGGTTGGCATGTATGCTGGACAGGATGTGAGATGTATAAACACACATACATACACACATGCTTTTTACATTCTCATTTTGGGTATTTATATTTGTAATATTTCTATTACACAGTTGTACTTGTATATAATTTATAAATACCTATATGTGTGTATAGTAATGATGAATACTCAGAAATTTTACATACGTAGGGTAATGCCAAAAAACTTCAGCTATCACTGACCGAGAGATTTAATTATTCATGTTAATTTGGGATGTTCATGATATCAGAAAGTGATGCTGCTTCCCTGGGAACCTGGATTGATATCATAAATGACCAAGCTTGATTATGATCATCCTGAATTGAGAGAAAATTTGTTTCTTGAGTATGCAAATAACTGGAACAGAAGGAAGGAATAAATATTAAAAAGTCATTTTTACAGATGTCATTTTAAATCACCTCTGCTTGCTTGCACTGATTTGTCCTTATTAACTACCTCCAGGTTAAAAACCTCTATACCTGACTTCATGCCTTGCAGCAACACATTCCACTAAAGTATTTCTCACTGCTCTTTAAAAAACAAGCCTCAACACTTCAAAGATAAGAAAATGATGTTATGTTTCCATAGTTTCTGTTAATAATGAGTAATTAAAGAGAGATGTAAACCTTGGATTTAAATGTCTATTAGTTCTTGGGAAGGTCGTGGTGTTCCAGGGACTGATTTTCAACGTGAATCCAACTTTATCTGAAACCCCTAGATTAGGGTTGATGGTCCCTCAAAACACTCTTTGGGTACCAGCACCGAATATCCACGAAGCACCACACAAAGTGTGGGACAGAAAACCTAATGATGCCTAGTTTCTGCTGGGGTTGGGGATAGTGGTGCCATTTCTCTGTTATCTCAGACTGGAAGAAAATGCTACAGGGTTATCTGGATTAGGTTTCTTGCATAATAAAGAATAACCTGGCTAAATGCCTCAAAGGAGGATAAGAAATATTTATATATATTAGGAAATATTTATATTCTTTGTAAAAACACTTGAAAATCAGAGACCATTTTTTTTTGATAGCTGTTCAAACTACAAAATATAAATGTGCCCCCCCCCCCCCAGTAAACCAAAGTTCTTACAGTAAGCACACAGTAGGCTCTGGCAAAGGTCTGGATGAGGGTCGCACAACTTAGTGCAGAAGGCGATGGGTGGGCCTCACTCTAACCGCCCTGCAGCTGGAGCTACCGCTTTAGTTAATTCTCTTACTGGCAGCAGCTAAGATCAAGAAAGTAAAAAGAACTTTTTCTGGCCTAAGTTTATATTAAGTTGAACAGAAACGTTACAACAATTAGAGGAAGGCAGAAGGGAAGGAAGAATTCCCTTCTGCCAAGTATTTAACAGGCACTAGGTTTTTCTATGTCCTCTATGGTTAGAAACATCCGTGCTGCAGCCTGAAGAAATGGAAGCATAATTCACACCCTTGGGTTGAAAAACAGGCATTTCGGGCTCCCAGGCTCCTGCAAAGCCACCGGGTATGGCGCTGAGGTGGTGCAGGCGGCCTCCCAGAACCGGATTCCCGGGACCCGAAGAACCCTCTGGTGTGCGTCCCGGGCGGCACCTGCTGTCTAAGCTGGGCTGCAGGACTCTCCATCTTCAGGACACCCCTTAGTCTCCACTCCCTCTCTGCATGTGTGTGCGTGCGCGTGTGTCTAAAACCAAAACGCGCAGGAGCTGACTTTGAAGGGTGCTTCACAGACAGGGTGAGACACGCCTTATGGGGACACCATGGGGAGGGAGAGAGGGAATGGGGAGTCTCTCTCTCTCCGGCTCTGGATGGCTGGGAGCCTGGGTCCACGTGGAATCCGAGCTGAGAGGCGCGCTGCCTGCCCCCTCATCCCGCAAAACTCCTCCCTCCTGCCCCAGTTACCCGCGCAGGTCCCTCCGGCAGCTGATGGAGAGCGAACTCCTCGCTTACCTTGACTAAGCACTAACACCAGCCGCAACGGCGCGCCCCCTGTCCGTCCTGGCCGCATCCTGAGCCTGCGGGGACACGGTAGCTGCTCTCGGATTGCGGAGGGACTCCAGAAGCTGTCCCGAGAGCCTCTCTCGCCCGCCGGGGTGAGGGCAGGGAAAAGTTGCCTGGCAGCTCCTGGGACGCCAAGGCCCGCCCCGGCCCGCCCCGGCCCGCCCCTCGGCCACGGCAAACACCGGATCTGCCCCGGCCCCGCCCCGCCGAGCCCAGTCCCTGCGGCCCCGCGGGCACCTGCGCTCAACCACACCCCTGGAAACCGCACCTTAACTCCCCCGCGCGGTTCCGGCCCCCGCCCGGGGGAACCCGGAGGCCGCGGGGCTGGGGTCCGCGAGCCTGGCGCTTTTCCTGCCCTGCACTGGACTGGCCGGGCACGTCCGACGGGCGGGAGCCGGCCTGTCACTACCCCGCCCCTGACGGCCGGCCTGCCGCCCGCCCGCAAGAGACCCCGGTCCCCTGGAGAACCTTGGCCCTTCTGCAGCCCTTTGTGGCTCCAGGCTCCAGGCAGAGGTGGAAGGCGGGGGTGAGGGGCGCCGCGAGCCCAAAGCCACGCTTTTACGGGTGGCGCGGTGCGTGGTTCTCTCTGCTTTTCTCAAGTGGGTGGAGAAACGGACAAAAATAAGTGCAGAATGACCAGGTTAGAAACTAACTCGACAGGAAAGAAGATCTGCTCACAAGTTATGATTATCCGAGGTATATTTAAGCAAGACCTGTTGCAAAAGCACCGTGTGTGTGTGAGATAAATCCTCATTCATTCCTCTCCTCCAAGATAATAAGCAGCTGATTTGATTACTAAGTTTAAGCGATTTACTTCAAGACACAGAGACGAGTGAGAACCCATATATGAACTTGTGACTCTTCCTTTTTGTATTACACCATGACCATTTTATTCCATTATTTGAGTTTCAGATCTGGAAAAAAGGACATTCTGTAACCATATCTGAGATTTTTACTTACCAACCTAAGAAATAGGATATTCTCTTTTCTTTAAATCTGATTTTTCCTCCAAAGGTTCACCCACAAATTCCCAGCACATTGCTGAAACCAGAATTCTACCAGTGACCACTTTTATGAAATAATAAAATGTTTTAATAAATTAAACTTAAGGAACTATTAGACTAATCATTATTATTATCACCATTCCAAATCTTCATGGAGCAGCTAGTATGAGCACTATGGAATATTTGGGATACTGCCACTCAGAAGTAAAGTGGTTCAGGGTGCAAGGACTTAATTAATTGGTAAAAATCAAATGCTCTCCTTTACCATAGCTGAGGCTGGAGTCTTAAAGCACTAAATTGGTATTCACCAGATGTTACTGCTTTGCACCATTACTATAAACTCAGTACCTTTGAATTCAAAATGTATAGCCCCTGGTTCTTTCCTGTTTTCTTAATCTGCCCTTACTAATTCTACTTACTAATCCCGACAAACACTTGAAGGCATTTTTTTTTTTTTTTGACCTGTCTGTGGTACTCACCTGCTTACTAAGACTCCAGATATCACCTGAGAGCTCTTAGGTGGCCATTCACTAACCCTGACACCAATTTAGCCTCTCCTCACAGACTTCTTGCAGGAAGTCAGCCAGGTTTCAGGGAGATGAATATCTGTCTGTTTCCTTCTGACTCACTGAAATGTGAGTAAGTGTTTGGAACCGACCCTTGTTTGGGAGGCAGTATAGCTCCCTTCATGTGAGACAGGAATCTGTGCTTTGTCTCTGGGTGCTGGAGAGGAAAATGCACCCTTCTTTGCTTTTGTGCTCAGAACTGGACAAATTAACATTATGCTGGCATGAGGTACAGAATAAATCAGGAGCTATATTTTTCCAGAGCAGGCAAAAATTTCAAAGTTCAAGAAACAAAGAATTGACTCCTGCCCCACATTAATTTTAAAAGTGTAAAGCGTTCTTGCTACAAAACAGTTTGAGAACTCATGCCTTAATCTTCCTAGCTAGCCTAGTCTGCTTAGGTGTAACTGTGCTGGACACCACATCCTAAGGAAATAAGATTAAGGCAGGGCTTTTTAAATCTTTGGTCTCAAGGAGCCCTTTACACTTAAAATTATTGAGAATCTCTCAGATGAATGGATAAAAAGATGGTGAAATATTGTATATATTTTCTAACGCTCCCAAAGTCCTTTATTGGGCCAACAAGGCTGGGAGCTGCTCTTGGAGTGGGGTCCCAGTCCCAGTCTGGATTCTCCAGGTCTATGCTGCCTCTGCCTCTGTTCCTAACTGGGGCAGTTGGCCTCCTCTGACAGGCTACTTGGTTTGCTCCGTCAGGTATCCCCAGCCCTCCTTGGAGTACCCCTGGGCCTTGGACGGGGCCACCGAGAGAGCCAACATCAGCATAATGATGCCTGAATTCCAGGACTTGTGGATGTGAGAGTTAAACTTTGGAGGGACTGGAAGCTGGGGTATCTTCAGACTGGTCTTCTCACACATGTACTGGCTGAACTGGTCCATGGCTGGGGGGGGCGGGGGGGGCTACCTCCTCAGACTTCTGAAGGGCAGTCTGGCTCTTGACACTAGGCCCCAGCAGCTCCTGGTCATACACCAGGTAGATGGTGCCCCCAGCCATACTGCCCTTGATGAGGAACCTCCTCAGCAACCATGCTTGGGGCACTGTGGTCGCTCAGCTCTGTGTGCAAGGACCCAGATGATGGAATATTATTCAGTCATAAAAAAGAAGGAAATCTTACCATTTGCAATGACATGGATGAACCTGGAGGACATTATGTTAAGTGAAATAAGCCAGAGAAAGACAAATACTGTATGATCTCACTTACATATGGAATCTAAAAAAAGTCAACTCATTGTACAGAGACTAGAATGGTGGTTACCAGAGGCTAGAGGTGAGGAAAATGGGGAGATGTTGGTCAAAGGGTACAAACTTTTAGTTATAAGATGAATAAATCCTGGATGTTTAGTGTACAGCATGGTGACTACAGTTAGTAATATTGTATATTTGACATTTGCTAAGAGAGGTCTTAAGGGCTCTCACAACAAAAACAAAAAATGGTAACTGTATGAAGTGATGGATATGTTAATTATCTTGATTGTGATAATCAGATCACAATGTATATATATATATATATATCAAAACCTAATGATGTACACCTTACAGATATACAAATTGTAATTGTCAATTATACCTTATTAAAGCTGGAAAGAATATGGAGGATCCTAAAGAACTTTTGTTTATGTGGATCATTTCTACCCATGTTTATCATGTAAGAAATTAAAACATACATTTCCTAATGTTTATATATTAATTCAACAATAAGGCTCTTATGTGTTAATGTAAATACAAAAAATGTACCAAAAATAGCTTTATTTCCCCAAATAAAGAAAATCATGAGAAGAATGGCATTGTCTTACAATTTTGCCAATCTTTTGAATGTCTGGCTTAAAAAATAAACACTTGATTTCTCATATCTGCTCCTGCATCCAATCTCTTGGGATAGGTAGTTTCAGTGAAATTATATTAGTTTGGAATTAATCTGGTAGTTAGAAAAAACAGGACATAATTGTGGATATTCCTGATACTGCCCCCAAACTCAAAAAGTGGTAGTTTCTTAAAGACTAGTTCCAATGGGGAATCTGAAACCACATCAACAAACTTTTCTTATCCTAGTGTTGATTTGCAACCTCGGGAATTCCTGGGGTTGAAAACTGAAATTGGCCTTCACACATGGAGGGCAAGGAGAGAGGAGAAAGAGGCAGACCTCTTCCTATTGGGGGGGGGGGTGGCAGTTTTAATAAGCAAGGGAATTTATAGTCTAGGTTTGTGTGGAGTGGCCACAAGATGAGTGAATTTCCACACTGCTGCCAGAATCTCAAGTTTACGTAGAGCCCTTAACAGGCAGGGTTCAGTCATATATACAGTTCAGATAGTCTCAATAACACATTACTTTCTCAAAGCTGTGTCCCTGAAGTGGCTACTAGTGTGGGAACAGTAGGCAGAACCTACATTTTAAGGACAGGGGAGGGAATAAGGAGCTTCCAATTACCCAGGTCCAACTTGCAGGTCAGCCAGCCGTCACATCCTCCTGATAACCTCCTCCAACATGTTGTGCATTAAAATTCATTGGTCTATTGAGCACTTTGAGTAGATCTTTCACCTATGCAAAGTTTTGTCCCATCATATATTGATCATTTGGAAAATATTGGTTCACTGAGTTATGCAGATTTTCTAATTGTTGACACATTTCAGTACACAATATAAAAAAAATCATATCATCACCTATCTCATCGGAAAAGTCTTTATATATTGGGAAGCTGTCAAGCTCATGCTGGCACATACACATTTTCCAAAATTTCAATTTTAATTTGAAAACTTGAATTTTATCATTGGCAGCACATACTATCAGTTGTTCTATGTGAAATGAAACGCCCACTTCATTCATTTTTGAGAAATAGCTATATAATACCCAAGACTGAATAATCATAGTTTGTCTATCAATTGTTTTTTCAAGTAAAACTGGTGTTCCATGAGAAACGTGGCTAGTTCAGTTTACGGATCCTTGAGACAACCATCCTATTTCAGTATGCAACACAAATGCTTTATGTGTATTACCAGGTTTACTCATGAAAAATATTTAAAAGACGTACTGAAGCGTTGAGATTTAATAAAGGTAGTTAATTTTTCCTGCTTTGTCAAGGACATTCTCTCTCTCTCTCTCTTTTTAAGAGATTTTAGAGAGAGAGAGAGAGAGAGTGCGTGAGAGCACAAATTGGGGGGAGGGTGGTTCAGGGCAGAGGGAGAAGGAGAGAGAGAATCCCAAGCAGGCTCCAAACTCAGCATGGAGCCCAATGTGGGGCTTGATCTCATGACCCTGAGATCATGACCTGAGCCAAACTCAAGATTTGGATGCTTAACTGACTGAGCCTCCCAGGTGCCCTGTCAAGGACATTACTAAGTAAAACTATCTTTCTCCTCCCTCCCTCCCTCCCTTCTTTCCTCCTTCTTTCCTCCTTCCTAGTTTCTTCTCTCCCTCCCTCCTCCCCTCCCCTCCTCTGCCCTCTTCTCCCATACTTCCTCCTTCCTTTCTCTCCACTGCTCCCCTTGCCCTCTCCCTCTCATTTTTTCTCTGTGTGTCCAGTGGTGAAGAATGC